TCATCGGTCCAATCAGCGCAGATTAGCTTCGCGCTAAGGAGGGGTTTGGGAACAAATGAATCACTGGACGATTCATACAGGAGTCGCTGGGATAATTAGGTAAAAATAAATGCAGATTATAAGACCATGAAAGTGTTTTTTGACCTTGCATGCATATTAGACTGTTGTTGGAGACCCTTACAACCAAGATATGACCCTATTTCATGTATAATATGGGCTCTTTAAAGTTAGTCATTACAAACACAGTCTATATTAACACTCACATTGTTTGGGATTACTAAACGGTCAGTCCACTCTTATTTAAAAAATGAAGGAAGCAGTCCCAAATCTTGTAGAATATGTGCATTTTTTGTTTGATTGAATAAGTCAACTTTTCCATTGCTATACACGAAGACATTTCCTTAATCCAGAGTGACAAGGATGGAGCACGAGTACTTTTCCAGTGAATGGCAATCAGGCGCTTCGCATGTAATAGACACAGATTTATAAACTTCTGTTCATATGACTTCAGCGATAGGGAAGGTGAGAAAAGACCAAGGATACAGATTTTAGGGCAAACAGGGATTTCTTTACCAATAGTTTTAGAGATTACACCAATATTTTCTTTCCAAAAGAATTGCAAGTGCACACATTGCCATCACAACATGTGAGTCAAACATTTTCCACAAATGTCCAGAATATTTCTATTAAATTTATTTAACATTTCTGGTGTTATATATGTTCTCATTATCCAATTATATTGGATTAGTTTAAAACGGGTATTGATTGATAATGTTTGCGCTCGAAGACAACTTTCTTCCCATTCATTTTCTGTAATATCTATTTAAAAGTCTTCAATCCAAGCCAGTCTTTTATGATTTGTAGATTCTTTGGAAGCATTAACAAATTTGCTATATAGTGTAGAAATTTTGTATGTGGCACTGGGATCTTGCAGTTGATGTTTGATGTAAAATTATTTTTAAGTTGTACATTTGTACAAAGCACCACTTGATATTGATAGACACGCTTGTGAGTTAGTAACCACAGCAAAAACAAAACATTCTCTATTTAGGGTGGTGCAGTGTCTCAGTGGTTAGCACTGTGGCTTCACAGCAAGAAGGTCGCCGTTTCGAGCCTCGGCTGGCTCAGTTGGCGCTCCTGTGTGGAGTTTGCATGTTCTCCCTGTGTTGGCGTGCATGGGTTTCCTCTGGGTGCTCCGGTTTCCCCCACAGTCCAAACAGATGTTGTAGGGATAGTTTACAGTTTGACCCAAAGAATGAGCAGTCTGGTTGATGAAGAAGAGCCGGAGTCGGAGATTTTAATAAATAAATCAAGTTTACTGAAGATAGTTTGCTGTTAAATCAGCAGAATCCAGCTTCAACACTCGCATGAGTTCCTAGGCCGCTCTGCTTACAATCACCAATCAATAACAATTATACTGTCACATAACGTCATTAACTGCGTCACACATACAGATGTCCTAACCTGATTGGTTAAAACACAGATAGACTAGGAACATTTCCACGTGGGGTTTGTGCGTATATTCTGAACAATATCTTAAGCATAAACGTCAGACATCCCTTAGACTGATTAGAGCTGACTCCAGACCTGTGAAACGGATCAACAATCCGATAGAACACACACACTTAAAGTATAATCTGTTTCTTATCCAAGGCTGAGTGTACTGTCAGCCGTCTTTATCGAAACTGGTTAAAAACCGGTATAATCTACATTCAGGCAGTAATATTCTTACTACACAAAGTCTATCTTGAATAAAAAGTAGAATCACTTTAAAAGATTTAACCGTAAAACTATAGCAAAATCACTTTAGACATTTTAGACAGTATTAACTCCTAGAAATAACAATAGAAACAGTTGCTTCCAGTCCTCAGCCATCAGTTCCACTCAAGGTCTCCATGACCTCTGACCTAGTTTGCTGGCTCCTGAAAATAGTTATAAAGAGACAGGCAAATGCACTGAACATTCTTATATTAAGCAATGTGTTAACTTATTCATTAATTAAAATCAATTCACAGTTAAATACTGGGAAACAGGATGATGAAAAGGATAAATGTTGGTCCATGATAAGATGGACTGGAAAGCAGAAATCCGAATCCTTCAATGTGGTATAGGGGAATTGATTAACTAAATTGGCAATAGTGTGTGTGAATGAGTTTGTATGGGTGTTTCCCAGTACTGGATTGCAGCTGGAAGAGCATCCGCTGTGTAAAACATATGCTGGAATAATTGGTGGTTCATTCCGCTGTGGCGACCACTGAAATAGAGACTAAGCTGAAGGAAAATGAATGAACAATGAGCAATTCTCTTTTAAAATTCTCTTTAAACTTCGTCCCCGATTCCTGTCTGCTTTGGGTAATACTCAATAATCACGAGATCATGTTAAAATAGTTTAAACATTGCTTTCAAAGAACGTTAAGTAAGGGTTTGTGCTGAACATGTTGTATTTAAATTGTACTTTCATTTTTGTTCATTCCTCAAACAACATCTGTTCTTGTTGGCGTGGGTTTCCTCCGGGTGCTCCGGTTTCCCCCACAGCCCAAAGACATGCGGTACAGGTGAATTTGGTAGGCTAAATTGTGTGTGAATGTGTGTGTTTCCCAGAGATGGGTTGCGGCTGGAAGGGCATCTGCTGCTTAAAAACTTGCTGGATAAGTTGGCGGTTCATTCCGCTGTGGCGACCCCAAATTAATAAAGGGACTAAGCTGACAAGAAAATTAATAAATGAATGTTTCGTGTTTCACGTTCTTATAGTTACTGTACTACCAAAATCACTCTGCATATATTTTTCAAACAAAATTCTACATAAAATTTGCGAAACAATGTCTGCAGATTCTGTCTGGCCCTGCTCAATAGTAGTTCAGATTGTATAAAGTGTGTGCTCAGTGAATGACTTGTACCTGCAGTCATTTGGCCATGAGCTTTAGGTTTTGTTTTACGCTGTACATACACACCTCATCATTTCCCGCAGATCAGATGTGATTCTGCTCTTCTCTGAAATCTTGTGTGCAGACACTCCTATGTACGCTATGTCAGTGTTTACTTGTGAATGCACCACAAGTCATGTTGTACTACTTGTTTTCTTCACCCTTAAATACCTCTTTTGCGCAATATCTTGCACACTATTGTTCAGTCTCATGTAAAAGCACTTGTATAGTCTGTCTTAGGTTATGCGTATAGTTAAGTATCTATAGTATATGTGTAGATTAGATTATACTAGCTTTTACATCCAGTATTGTGTTCTTGGTTCTTGGAGACGTGACATTTCATTCCACACATGTGTAACGGAGGCCAGCTAGTGAGTGCTGTGCAGGTAAACCTCACTCCTCTGACCTCTAAAGGTGCTCTAGCGACAGACACTAGAGGCCATGGTCTAGCCTCCTTGGTAATGAAACAGAATGGAGCAGAGTAGTGATGTTGGGATGAAATAGGAAAAATGAAAATAAGAAAATAGTAAACCTATGTATAATAAAAATGATGTATAAAAATGAGAACATTTTGAGTGAACTGCACAAATTTCTAACGGACAAAGCATGTCAAGTTTTTAAAGAAATGAACTGGAAAATACCACAGTTTTAATGTTTTGAATACGAAATGATCTTTTAATGTCTGTTTTATCATGATTTACTGTACAAGATTGTAATTGAAATGATTTCAATAAAAAAAAAAAAGAAAAAAAAAGGGTTGAGCACCCGACTCCCATGCGGAAGGTCGCCGGTTCGATTCCAGCTCGGAGCGGGTTGGGTGGCGTAGGACCGGCGGGGTTACACACGTAGTGAAATTACAGTAAAGCTCAGTTTGACTTGAAGATGATGAACTCTACATGCTTCATGAGTTTTGATTTATTTGACTCCAGAATAAACTAATGTATTTGATGAGCTGCAGTTCAAGGCACAATTTAAAATACTCTGAAATGCGGATACTGTAGTTTACACGATATGTATGCTAATTGAATTTGATTTGGCTTTTGTTAGGGTAGTTTGTATGATCTAGTGGACAAACCAGTCTGGAGGTTTTCATCTTGGCGCTGAATCAAATATGTGCCGACTGAACAATAGTTTCCATCGTTTCAGTATTTGGCTTGCACAATCACCAGGGTATATAAGGATGAGGTGCTGCTACGAGCAGGTTAACACCTCGTGGTGAAATCTCATCCTTACAAACCCTAAGAAACTTTCCAACTATCACAGAGCAGTACTGACTAGAAATGGCAAGACCAGCAACAGAAGTTGAAATCCCTGCAGCAGCAGAAGGTGAAGTGGTCAGAGACATGTATGGAGAAAATGACCCAAGGACAAAAGCCCACAGAGACATGCAGCTCAACAACAACCCAAATGTTCTTTTCAGAATTTATCGTGAAGGTTTACTGCATATCCTGCTCTTTAGACCCACGGCTAACATCTTTTGGAGAAGACTACTTCAAGAGGAATATCAAGACATCACCTTCCAACACACTGTTGAAGAGCCCATTGGGCATACGATGAATCTCTCTGGTAATAGGGAGGAATTAGAAAGATTCTGTGACAACTTTAGGAACAATCTGCAGCGTGCTAATAATGCTGAAAATGAAATGGTAGGGAACAATCTGGAGGATGCCAATCTGGAGAATGCTAATAATAATAACCATGATAATGAAATTGAAGAACTGCAACAAAGGATACGGGAACTTGAATTAGAAAACACACAACTTCGACAACAGGTACAGCAAAACATTTATTACAATCACTTTCTTTCAAACCCCCATATCTTGTGTATTAAAGTGGTTCAAAATGTCATTATCAAATCATTGGCATATCTGTTTTCCTGTTAGTTTCTTTTAAGGCAGTTTTTAATCCGTTTTATAAGGGGTTTAAGGGGTCCATTAGCCATTAGAGTTAATACACCTGACCTAATTAAAATAATGTCAGTGACATTCACAGAGAACATTACTCTTGTTGTAAATCTGTAACATGAGTCAAAAGCTCTCTGTATGACTATGCTGATTGTGTGCATGTTTTTTTCATCATCTAAAAATATCTGTCCTGTTTTTCCAACAACTGATTTATTGTTTTTCTAAAATGAAAACACATGTGCAATGACTATACAGTAACATCACATATTTATTTTTCCCTTTTTGCACAGAGAGATGAAAACCTACAAAGACCTCCTGATGATTCCGAGTGATCCATCCTAGTGATTCTGTGAAACTGTGGGGAATTATACTGCATTAAGTTTAATCATCAGTCCTCTTATTGTTGAGAATTAATAAAGAACAGTTAACTAAACAGCCATGAATGTACAAAATCAAGCTGATTTATTGAATGTTAACATTATAATATAACATCTCTCTCTCTCTCTCTCTCTCTCTCTCTCTCTCTCTCTCTCTCTCTCTCTCTCT